TTCTCTGGTGAGGCTGAGATCTCTGGAGAGGATGTGTTTAAAGGCTCCTTGGGTAAGCAGACCAGTGTTTCTTCTAAAATCATTGAACAGAATCTTGCTAAAAAAAAATGTTTCTCCATGTCTGCAAGGGACCCTGTCTCCTAAGGATGCTCCTGTTTGTATGAACAGGGGAGAGGGCTGCATATGATGGAGGTGGGGGAAACCTGAGGCAGCAAGAGATGAAGCATATGTGGGCCAAACTCAGCTTGTCCAAGGGGTACTAGCTGCAACAGGGACCACCAAAGCCCCTGGATCTTTCTTTCAGCAAATGCCCATAATAGCAGGGTGCATACCCAAAGATTCAGGGCTCCAAATGAAAGATCCATGGCCTCAGTCTGAACGGGCTGCCCCCTAACATCACTTCTGTTCTCAGCCCATAATACTCAAATGGAAAAGTAAAAAGAGAAGGGGGGAATTTGTTTTAAAAGAAAATGAAACTAAAAGAGGCCTAATATTATAATTTCATATAGTATTTCACATTTCTAGATATTCATGCCAAATTGAAAGCATCAGGAAGCCCACATATTTGATACATTATGTCACTATTTAAGCATATAATTATCTCCAAATATTTTCTCAGTTAAAATGGAATAAGCATAATTTCTTCCCTTGCTACCCAGATTTTTCAAGCATAGGCCACTGACTTCCCTTGTTGCATATTCTGTGCCACTGCAATTACATTTCCTCATCCCCACCTGTAAGATGTCATATCAAAGATGTTAGGCTCATATTAGAGGACCACAATCATATAAAGCAGGGCGGGCAGGTGGTGGATTGGGATCTGCAGGTAGAATCAGTGGGAAGGGTTGCAGGGTGAGGAATTTGCCTGTTCTGTCCACTGATGGACATTGCAATGAGTTAAATGGATGCCACCCCATGTTTTTTAAATAGGCAAGGGATTGCATAACAGTAAGTCATCTCTTATCTGTTTACTTCCTGATATGATATAAAAACCAGTGTTTGTGTGTAATCAAGAGATCACTTTCTATTTCAATATTCTCTTCATTGGAAGTTCGGTGGAATTAATGTTAGGTGCTGGACACTGGGATAAATAAAAAATTCTTCTGAAATGATGCCTGATGCAAAACTTGACATATGGTCATTTTGGCACCTGGTTTAAACTCTTTCCTCTATTTGAATCTTTCAAACATATCAAAGAAGGAATTTTTCACATGTTAACTGCAGTGCCAATCAGGCTGGTTCCTCTGCTACTTTGGTAATGTGTGGATCTACCTGTATGGTTCAACCATGTGGTTATTACATTACATTTATATCCCACCTTTTTTGCTCCTGTGAGAAACCCAAGTAGCTTACACAGCTTCAGTTTATCATTACAACAAACCTGGGAAGTAGGTTGGGCTGAGAGTGAGGGACTGGCCCAAAGTCACTCAGTGAGCTTCATGGCCATTGCTGGAAGTTCTGGGTCCCTAGCCCAGTCCTGTGACCTCCACACCACTCCAGGATGATGCCTTCTGCTGCAACTGATTGTGATGGATCACACAGAACACTTTGCCTCCAAGGGCCTGAAGGCTGGCCAGAAACCCACTTCAGTGGGACATTGTTGCTACGCATTTTATCTGGCATTTTTACCAGGTCTGTGGCATATCATCTTTAAAGGAGATTGACATAAGCAGGGCCAGCCCTACCATTAAGTAAAGGTAGGCAGACACTGCCTTAGGCAGCAATGCCAGCATAGCCAATGGGGAAGGATCATGGGAGTTATAAGCCAAAGCATCTGGAGGGCTACAGGTTGCTCACCCCTGGCCTAAACCAAACCCCTAGAGCTGTTATGTTTCTATCTCACCTTTTTTCCTCTTGCCAGGAACCCAAGGTGGCTTATATAGTCCTCTCACAACAAGCCTGTGAAGATGCTTTCTCCTGTCATGAACTGCAGCCAAGAGCAGATGCAGTCTTTGATCAGTAAAATGACTTGAGGAAAAGAAAAAGTTTCAGGAAAAAAATGTTTTCTTCTGCCACTCACCCCCAGTGCAGCTGATCTAATCAAATGTGGAGCACCAACTCCAACCACAGTAGCTGCCCATAAATTAAACTAAAAGCATCACGTGATCTGATTGGCAATCCCATGTAACTCCTCCTTGCCTTCCCCAGCATTCAGATCCCATGGATTGCCCAACCAGCATCTGCTCATGACAAGAGAGCTGTGGCTGGGTTTCAGCTTTAAAGTGGAACTTTCACCTTTAATGGCCTTTTGTGAATTTGGCTGTGCAGAGGAGGTCAATTTGCCACAATTCTTACTTTCTTGCATGGTTGCGGTGTGCAATTTCTTTTAAACCCTGAAAAAAAATTGGTGTGACCCTAGAAACTGCCTTATCACATTCACAGAGTGCCTTGCCAGTTATTAGAATATTAATAACTATGTTTCCAGATGTACTTAGTATAGTTCTATATCACACAAAAATAACATTTTCTTGATGGTTCATTCCACAATGGTTAAAAGCACAAAACTGATAAAATAATAAAACAATGTAAAATCTACAATGAATTAAAACCAGTCACAGAATAAAACCTAACTATCCTGGCAGAGGAATTAAAATGAACTTCAAAGAAGATGGTCTGTATGAATTATAAGTACATTTAGGCAGGAACAAATTCTCCATCCTTTTGAAGCCTGGAAAAGAACTCTGCTGCTTCTAATCTGAAACTAATCTGAAACTTGGAATCTTTCCTTTCAGCTAGCCAGAATCTCATATGGCTTATTTCCACAATGAATGGTTAAGGTCACAGGAAGCATGGCTGTCATGCTGTCTCCCTGCATTTAGATGATCATATGTCTATCAATGTATGCATTTTAATATCTCAGAAAGTAATGGTATAATAAATAATGAGAAGATCTTTAGGAAACCAGAACCATGCTTTGAAGATGAAAGACCTTGTGACATGCCTAGCTATGAGAAGCCTCATGTCACAAGATCTAGCAAAAATAGGCAGCTATCCTATACTGGAGCCAAACATCTGGAGAGAGGGCAAAGTGGCTTCAGTATCACAAAGGAACTCATTAAACAATAGCATCTAATATGGGCACATTGGTGGCCCTCCATGGGATCCCTGGCTGGAGACCAAGCCAACCCGTGACAAGGTGATGGGCATGTTTTTTCTATACTGCAATTTCCCCCCAAGCGTAGTGCCTAGGAATGAATGACATTGATACGCACATGGTAAAAGTGAAGAGGTGCTAAATCCCCTGCTGCCATGGTAACCCCACCATCCGATGTGCCCAACAGATTAATGACTCTTCTTAGCTGCTTTGTGAACTGAAACTAGGTGCTTGTTCTCGGCCATGCTTGGCTATTTGAGGAAACCCAGAAGGCTGAATTGGAACCTCAGGTTGGCTGGATGGGCCTAAGGTTCCCCATCCTTGTTTTACAGATCCACTTTAAAGGAGAACAAGGAAGTGCTGATGAAGAGGCCAAAGGCAATGGCACAGTCTTCTTCATCATCTTGCAATGCAGTCTTATTTGTGCTCTGTTTTGGGCTTTTGCCATCACATGAACTGAAGAACTGAAGTGTTCTACCTCACCTTGGTTTTGTTGTTGCAGCTGCTGCTGTTCAATGTAGTCCTTGCTTTACTGTAAACTATAAATGCTCAAAGCAGCTAGAAACCGCAACAAACATAATCTACCAAACATAATAAGCAATAACTCCGGAAAGCAATATAAAAACCCGATGAGATTGAATAAGAGGAAAAAGTGACCAGTTAAAAACAAATATTGAATTACACGTTAAAATGCTGAGGGGCAGACTAAATCACATCATTTAGCTCAAACAACACCCCATGTTTTCTTGTGACATCACTTCATTTAAAACAACGACCACTAGATTTAAATCTGTTTATATACATTCAAATAGCTAAGGCATTTCATGGCTACATTTCAGTATTGTATGAGAGGGTTCCACTCAAATGAGATCATAGCAATGGTATGCATCAATCTGCTATACCCGCTGCGAATCAATTATACTGAAATGCCCTCTGCCTTTTGTTTGGGTTTCCGTGGGGGACACATGAAAGAAATTATTGAAACCTCGCGAGTTACAGCTTTATAGCGCGGCCACAGACTGGTGCGTGGGTGTCATTACAGAGAATATATCTTACTGCGCTTTTCACAGCTCTTTTCAAATTGATTGAACAATGTCTTTTATCAAATCCTTCCACTAGATGGCAGTGAAAGGTCGGAGTTGACGGTATAACCAACACTTAAGGTTTAAAACTTGCCCTTCTATCAAAGAGCTAGAGGTGCTCTCCAGCCTGTAATGGAGGGAAAGGGAAAGCACCATGTTGCCAGATATACTCGTCGTCCTTAGGGATGAATCATTCCGCGAGGCTGTGGTGGCCTTCGATTCGGGCGTTTTAAAAGGAATTAGACGGCGAGAGCCATCCCAAATTGCATCGTTCTACTAGTATTCCTTTTAATTGGTATTACTAAATGACGGAGCCGAGTAACAGGTAGCTCTTTCATCCTGCCCAGCTTCTGCGAAGCGCCTGGGTGGCCACACTTGAAGATAAGATAGGGCCGGGTTTGGGCAATTCTCACTATTTGGACTATATTCCATTTCAGTTCTAGCTGGAGCAGAGCTACTGACATGTTAATGGGTTGAGACCAGTTAATGGGCTTCAGCTAGGCAAACCGTGGATGCCCTTCAACGGGGACGGCACTAAGAAAGATTCTGCGAAATCACTTGTCCTTCCCTCCCAACGCAGCAAAAGTATCCGCTCGAACGCGGACCTTTTAGCAGCCGGCGACTCCGCTACTCCTCGTTTCTTCTCGCAGGCTGCTGCGAGCTCTAGGCAAACAGGCGGAGTTTTGCTCCGCCAGCGCGCCGCAAATCAAGCAGCGCTTTTACACGGGTGGCAGCGGGGAGGGGGGGGGAGACGCCCTGCGAGCGGATCGCATTCGCGGAGTTTGGGACGGTCCGATTTCCCTCGAAAGGCAACTCCCCCGAACTGCAAGTTGCGCCGCGGGACAGGAAGAAGTTGCAGTTGGCCGCGGTTGCCTGTGACGAGCATCATATGACCCAGCAAAGATGGCTGAAGAAGGGGAGAGTTGCAAAGTACCTGCCGAGGAGCAGAAGGAGGATTTTGAAGTCATCGATAGCGCTCAGGTCCCCACCGCGTCTGAGCTGAGAAGCGATGGCAAAGAGAGAGAGGCGGAAGAGTCGGGCTGGTCGGCTCCCATCTTCTCGCTGGCCAAGAAAGCATCGGAAAACTTAGCAGCGAGCTATGGAAATGCCCTGAAGTCTGCAGCTTTGGTAGGACTCATTCCCAAACCAGTCAGCAATGACAGCACAGCGAGACAAAGTACGGCTATGTTTATTGCTCGTTCTATACAATAATGATCTGGGATGTTTAAAAAGGAAGGGGGAAACTATCTGCAGTAGTTTTTAGAAAGGAGTGCCCAAACTAAAAAGTCTGTCTGCATAAGAAACCTTTTATTTGACCTGGAAGTACTTCCCTCCTTGTGCTTTCCTGCAAGTACCAGTTCTATAGAAAAAGCACTCTGCACATGCTTGAAGGCTATCTCCACATGCTCTAGGGAAGAATCGTGAAACTGTAAATAGATTAAAAGGCTAAGCCATGGAAAATTTTAACTCAGACTAAACCTGGTGGTTTGAAGTGTTTGATGGTATTGATTGTGGAATGCATATACAGTGGTATCGCGGTTCATGAACTTAATTCATTCCACACTTCTGGTCACGAACCAAATTGGTTGCGAACCAAGTCAAATTTCCCCATAAGGTTCAATGTAAATAAGGTTAATCCGTACTGAACCATAACTTTGTTATACATAAAGGACGACATATAAAAGTTTTAAATATGTATATTTTTTAACCACAAAAAAATGAGCCACAGAGCGGGGCTGCGGCTCCTGTCCCTCCCCTGCGGCCTTCTTGGGGCAAGCTGCCACTGCCACCCAGTGGCCACCATGCTTCTTCCCCCCAGGGCAGGGAGAGGCGGGAGGCACCCCACTTGGTTGGTCACGGCCCGTCCCTCGCCTCCCCTCGCCTCAGCCCATGGAAAGCAGCCCTTACCTCCCTCCTGCCCTCTCCCGGCCAGGGGAGTGCCAGTGAGGGAACCTTCTGCCGGCTCGGCATCAGGGCAGCGGCAAGGAGCCAGGAAGGCCTCGACCGAGGCGAGCAAGCGTGCCCTCATGGCTCCCCCTCATGTCGTGCTCTCCCTTTTGGTGGGAGGGGCGGCATCATCTTGGGTTTCTGCTACAGCCCGAGCGAGTGGAAGCTGGCCGCAGTCGTGTTCCTCACCCAATGTGGAGTTTGTGAATGGAAGCAAAATTTTGCCAAACTTTCTGTTCACAAACCAAATTGTTTGCAAACGGAGGTGTTCATGAACTGAGGTATTACTGTACTTGCATTTTGTTCTCTTGTTATGTTGTTTATTGGACCAACTTAGATACAAATGATTAGTTATGGTCTGTCATCTCTCCCCACCCCCCTCTCAAGATGGTGACAGTTGCAACTGGACTTATTTTACTTAAAACTAAAAAATTCAGTTCAATGACTGCATTCCTTTGTGAGTTAAAAACAGCTTAGATTAAATGACAATAACATAAGTATGAAGTTGTTACATTTTTAGGCATGGGGAACACAATTGGATGGCCACCAGACAGCATCTAGATGGCCATAGGATTTTTCAGATTCAGTTCAGAAAACCACTCTGGTGTCATAGCTGGAAATCCACACTCAGATCCCCTGCCCACCCCTTGCAGCCAGCACAGGAAGAACCGTGCCAGCTGCTTCTCTGAGTTTGTAAACACTACCTCAGAAAAAGGGTTTTAGGGGTGTTCCAGGACACAGGGAGGAGAGAAGACCAGTGCTGCCACGATGCAGCCATCTCCTCCTCCTTCCCTACTGCTCTGAAGCACCACATTTAGCCAAAATTGTCTATCAAAGTGCATAGAGAATACTTACCCCTGTGTTCCCCCCCTCCTCCTTCAGATGGCCATAATCCTGAATTCAGAGGGGGGATGCCCATAGACACAGTAATTCTTCTGTTTTGCCAGGTACTAAAGGATCTGGGTTGGCAGAAGTCCGGATTTGAAATGGAATAGACAAGGGGCATGCATATTCACTATCCTGCACCTCAGCAATAAGCCACAGTGGGTTGGTTGTTTTGCAAACACCTTACAGTGCACCCAACAAATGATCAGCTCATTTCTTTCTGCATGGTCTCCCAGGGGCCCCACATCAAGATCAACTCCCCCTTCTTACTGTGACTGCAACCTGATTTTGGGGTTCTGCAAATGTATCCGTTTTATAAAGATCACAACATTTGGCTGACTGCCAACTTTCACAATCTGTCTTCTAGCAGCCACTGACAACCCCTTCCAAATGTCCAAACACCACCTTGGAGAATCTGTCAGTTATTAGGAAACAAGTTTCTGTTACTATTTTTGCACACACATTGTGCATATTAGCTGCATTTGCAGGACTGTAGGAACTGGGACTCTTGGTCAGGCAATGGCAGGGGATACATGCTGTCAGAGTGCAGCAGGTACTAATCCTGGACATTGTCCAAAAGAGTGATCAAATATGCTTTTTCTCTTCTTTTGCTTTCTCTTAACAGCTATCAAAAAGTGACCTGCCAAAGGGAAACAAAGGCTGAAATGATCTTTGCTTGCAAGAAGGTGGTGGCAGGGTTTACACTGGCTTTGCAGCAAGATCCTCTCCTTTTTATTTTTGACCTAATAGGGCTTAGGGAGTCACACATGCTGCACTTTTTTCTGAGACTCTAGCTGCATCCCACCCCCTTTTCTGAGTTTTGAGAGCTATCTGCGTCTCCTTTAAAGGGGGATTTTGACAGGACACTGGGTGCTTTTTGACTGGGGCATATATGCCAAATGAATGGTGTCTCCCGATACTACAAAGCCAGCCATCCCAATTCATAAGTGCACCAGTGCCCAAGATAGTAGAATACCTCAGATTAGTTGGTTTATGGATTTTGGGTCACCTGGCATTTTTCTGCCCTTCCATCAGCTCAAAATATCTCAAGTCATCTTTTTGCTCATTAATTCTGAGCAGTGATTATGCAATTTCAGTGTTCTCTAGAGTACACAACAATGGTTCTAAAATAGTAATTATCATGAGCAGTATCTCCCCTTTTATTTCTAGCAGATCAAAATGAAAAGTTGATGAAATATAGTCCTTTATTGAAGCTTAATAGGTTTTGTTGTGTTACAGGGTGTTTTCTACATGAGTTGTTAACAAGTTGCATAAATCCAAGTAACAATCCCTCTGAACAATAGGAATTATTTTTGCGGATGTAAAGAGTTGATTCCAAATTAGAATGGCTCCCCACTCCCTGCCTGGATTCCACTTCAGGGTGATTCATGCTGTTTGTGAGCTAAACAGTGGGAACGCCTGAAGTTGCATAACTGGTCCACCTATTTGGTGTGGTGCCAATTCTCTGTCCTTCCCACCTTGTTCCACTTTGTCCCCTGGCCCCTCCCATGCCCAAGATAATTTGGTTCTCAGCCATTGCCTGATTATTCTTGCTTGTTAAACTTGTAAAGTCACCTGCGAGCTCCTCCTCCCCTTCTATCCTCTTTTATTGTGCATTCCAAATCTGAGCTGTCTGGCTGGGAATGCTGTATTGTACTGTACGATGCAGTATGGTGGCCCACATTTTCAAAGTAATACAAAAGTTTAGTACCAAATAACTAAACGATTTCCATTTCTGATAAATTTATCAGATAAAATTCTAAAATTTATCAGAAATGGAGAGCTATCCAAAAGTTATGCAGGGAAAATGCGTGGAATGGCACTTTAGGCAATTTTGTTTTAAAATTAAAGAATTAATGTGCAATGATTCCAATGCAGATTAACGTTTAAAACTGAATGTATGTTTACAGTCAGAATCTCTTGCTTAAGAACATATAATCTGACTTGAAAGTAGGGTCTGCAGACTGCTTCCCTTCTATTGTACAATCCCACTAACGGCAACTTGCCTGAGCACCTTGATATAACTCAAGAGCAGTGCACATAAACCTACATGTAGCAAATTTGATGAGCATTCACCCAGTTGCTCAAAGTCACTTTTTTAACTTTATCCAGTATAAATTTGGCCATATCTTAGTGTGCCACTAGGAAGAAGCGGCCAGCCTATAGCCCAACTACCATATAAAGCCAAAGATGGCAACATAACTGTGAAAGGTCTCGTTTCACATTTTGCATAGCTTCTAAATAAACATAGAATAAGTGGCAGACCAAAACAAAGTGGCTCTTTAAAGAACACAGGCTTATGTAATTTAAGATCGTGATGCTGAGGATTTGAACTCTGTAGTTACTAATATATTGCCTGGTTAATAGACAACTGTTCAGACTGTTTTTAAAATCAGGTAAGCAATTTTCATTAGGTAATTAAAACACACAGAGTTGTCTAGCAGCAGCTTGTAAATGCAGGCTCTATTTTGTTGGCAGCCTTGTGTGTTACAGTGACTACATCAGGAGTTGATGTTAAAAGGAGGAAGAGGAAAGAAATCAGCATTTTTTTACAAAAATATATAGCAGGAAGGATGACATATAAAGATGAAAACAAATAGACTAGGTCCAAGGGTTTGAATGCGAAAGTTAGTTTTGTGTAATAGTTTTATTATTTACTGACAGTGATTAAAATGCTCATTTAATGACCCATCAGAACAAGGGAATAAGATTGAGAGATGCTTTAGGCTTTATGTTTTCTTTCTAGTTATGGCAGAACCAGGTAGGCAGTGAATTGTGGTGAGAACAGCCTTGAAGGGCATGGGCAACTCATTTTGTGTGTACCCTTTTTTATCTGACATTTTATGTGCCTTTAATTGCTGCATGAGATAAGACATTCAGGTGGGGAAGCACATTTAGTTGCAGTGAAGGATTATCTGTTGCATTTCTGCACACAGCCGAGAGACAGAGAAGGAGATAGCTAGAATGCCTCTTATGGAAATAGTTGGTCTGCATTTGTTGGAGCAGATAAACCAATATGAAGCACATTCGTGCAGCACTTAGTTGAGACCAAAATGCTTTGCAAAGTTCTAATGGGATCCTGAGATTGGCCAGCTTGGGAATTGTTACTAGTGGGATAAAAAACTTGAATCAAATGTGCCCCTGAAGAAAAGCATTACTGAAAGGCTAGCGCAAGAATGGGAACAGGCCATTTTTCTCTCTCCCCCATAATACTAGAACTTAATGGGCTTGATGAAGCTGATAGGTGGGAGATCAAGGACAGGAAAATGAAACCCTTCTTTCCATGGCACATGGTTATGGAATTAACTTTCACGAGATGTAGCGATGGCCCCCAATGTGGATGGCTTTGAAAGAGGATTGGACGAATTCCTGGAGGACAAGGCTACCGATGTCTAGGGCAGCTGGGTTGGCCACTGTGTGAACGGAGTGCGAGACTAGGTGGGCCCCTAGCCAGATCCAGCAGGTTTCTTATGAGCACAGGTGGAGAATCTGGGCTGGCAGAGCACGAAGCGGGAACCCTGAAAAGGCGACGATCGAGGGGGCATGACATGGGATTTCCCACAGGTACGAAGAGAAAGACCGTAGCTCGTCCTCCGCCGAGAGAAACCGGAACAAATCCTAACGAAATGTGACGCGGGGGCGGGGGAAGAATTGGGTTTCCACGGCAAAAAGCGCGAGTGCCTAAGATGGCGCCCCTCGCCCGCGCTGCTCCTCCCACGTCCCTTGTTTACTAAACCGCGTCGCTTTCTTCCAAGTCACGTTGCCAATGAGAATAGAGGTTGGGGTGGAATTTCGGGCTTTTCCTAGCCAGTCGTAACCTGAGACGGAAGCCCTGTAAGTGTGGCCAATCCGGGTCTTCGAGATTGTGCACCCGGAGTTTTCATTGGCTTTCAGAGGAGGAGAGGCAGATCCTTGGACGCTTTTATCCAATGAGGGGCTGCTCTTTGGATCTCGAAGGGGAGGGAAGTGTTGCTCTGGTAACGCAGGTGAAGGTGAGAAACCAATGGGGAATGAAGGGAGGGGGCCGCGCCAGTGCTGGGTGTGGGGTTCTCGAGATGAGCCGCCCCGTGGAGCCCTTTTGGGGAAGCCCAGCGGTCCTGAGCAGCCAGGATGTGTGCGCCTAGAGTGGGGTCACAGGGCATAGGAGGCTGCCACAGGAGGCAAAACATGCTGTAAGGAGGCCAGTCACGCTGTCCCCTTCCTGCGTAGGGCTTCTGAGGCGCTGCCTGCCGAGGAGGCAAAGGGACATGCTTCTCACTTGAGAATGCAGATCAGACCAAGAAGGGAAAAGGCCTCTTTTTAATCTTGGCTGGCCTCCATCTCTGTCACTATCCTCACGTGGCCTTCTGTATGCATTTACGGAGAGCTGTGACAGTTATTCACACATGGCAGAGGAGTAGGGGCCTGAAATGGGATTAAAATGATTGCACAAAAAATGTTTCTCTGCTGCTGCTTTGCATAGTGGACTGGAAATTATGTGTATGTTTTTAATGGCTATGGAGTACTTCAGATGTTGCAGTGCAATTATAGCTGCTTGGATCTCTCCCTCTCTCTCTCACTCTTACACACACACACACACACCCTTAATCACTGTGTGCCATATCTCTGGAGAGTGCATCAGTTTTGTGCATACTTGTAAATTGTATAGCTGAGTATATAATCATTGATGGAGCAGTTGGACAACTTTTGCAACAGTTTGATCTTTTGGTAACTGCTTTCCTGCCCCTCCAAACATTTTTCATAATTATGCATGTCAGAAATATGTTTGTAAGGTTTGATATTTTAAGAAATCTGCAGATCAGTTTTCTTATCCATATGCATATCTTCATATGTTCAGCAGTCAAATACATGATGGAAGAACGTTCAAATCTCATGAATATGATGAAGCTCAGCATTAAAGTCCTGATACAGTCAGCTCTGAGCTTGGGTAGAACTCTTGATTCTGATTTCCCTCCCCTGCAACAGTTCTTTGTGGTGATGGAACACTGTCTCAAGCATGGACTTAAAGGTGAGTTTACTCTTAGGATTTGTTTTGCCTGACATACAAAGTTGTTCACACCCCTTTATGTATGTGGCTTTGATCTGTTAAGGCTGCTTTCCTATGCTCACTTCTGAATAAATCCTGTTGACTTGAATGGGTGTGTGTATATATATATGATTGCCCCTTAGTATTTAAACTGCACTGTGGCTTTTTAGAACATACGAGCCATGCTGGATGAAACCAAGGCTCTGGTCAAGCATTCTGTTCATTCAGGGGCCAAACAGCTCCCCAAAGAAAACCCACAAGTGAGCCATGAGTGCAACAGCACCTGTTGCCCATGTCCCAGTAAAGCAAGCATAGGATTTCAGCCTGCATGTGATGTGCAAAAATACTTTAACAGTGCATTCCTATTCAGAAATAAGTTCCAGTGTGGCATTTTTCCTTGTAAGTTTGTTTAGGGTTGTGGCCTAACTCTGTTTTGGGGACATTTGCTTTATTTGCATTGAACTGAAATAACATTATTTCTTTGCCTGTTATTTCCTTTTTATCAAGCCAAGAAGAGTTTTATTGGGCAGAACAAATCATTCTTTGGACCTTTAGAACTGGTGGAGAAACTTTGTCCAGAAGCATCAGATTTAGCAACAAGTGTCCGGAATCTGCCTGAGTTAAAGTGAGTAGAAACAGATTTAAGTTGATGCTAACAAGGGGGAAATATTTTATCCTTTAGCCAGAGTGACTTAGAAAGAAACGGAATAATGATTGTCTGTGCCCTCAGGCTTACAGTCTAAGACATAACACACAAGGAAGAAGGGATTGGGAGGGAAGAGAAGATGCAAGTTCAAGTTACATTTTTGATACGCTGGGATGGAAACAGTTCGGCTAGCTTGTTGGGACAACTGTCATTAGATGACCACTGTGGGAAGGCCAAAAGCATTGGTTTCTCGGGAAAAGGAAAAGAATAGCCCCACTTCCTTTCTTAAAAGGAACAAGATTATAATCCTTTATATCAATAATATTTTACTGGCTGATTTCTCTGTAGCCTAACTAGATGATCTAGCTAACTTCAGGAAAAAGAAGGGAACTTTCCACTGGAATTATCCTTTATTGAAGGGCATTCTGCAGTTATACCATCATTGTATAATGTGACAGCCAGTGTGCATGACTCACTGTCATTTAAGGCATTTCCTAGTATTTTGCATACTAAGGCTTGTCAACATTGCCTTTCTAATTCAGAGCAAAAGAAAAATACCATGCTGAACTCAGCAGGACCTTGAACGTGATAGCAATAACTCAACTGGCCATGTTATTGGCCGGTTCACTTCACTTTCTTAAATATTCTTTAAAAATTTTCTGTAATAAGTAATTCCACTACTTATATTAATTGATAACAATTAAGGGAAATGTAATAAAAATGTACACACTTAAATGTTTAACTTGTTTTCCTGGCTTTTCTGGTAATCAACGATCTCCTCTTGGAAGTAGGTATTAGCAAGTGCAATTCATGTAAAGAGAATAAAAAATGTGTATCCAGTTTCTTTCATACAAAAGGTTTGATTTCTGGTGTATTTCTGGATTTCCAGAACCCCAGTAGGAAGGGGCAGAGCATGGCTTTATCTTGCAGTGATGCAAAAGAAATTGGCAGATTACCTGAAAGTACTTTTGGACCACAAGAATTTGCTGAGGTATCTTCATATTTTTATTTCAAACTAACTGTTTTTGTTTCTGTGTTAAACAGATGGAAAAGCATTTAAAGCAACTGGGTTGTATTTAGAATTTTATTGTATTTTATCCACTGACAGAAAAAGTACTGGTCAATTTTTGCTGATTTGTCCCTCTTTCTGTAGCTGTCATGCCACTTCCCCTTCCTTTCTGTATCAGATTTTCCAGAGATAGAGGGAAAGGGGAAATTGGTAGAATTGCCATCTCTCTCTGCTCAACCAGCAGGAGAACCCTGCCATTTGTCATTTGCAAAAGGCTTATGCTGAATCTAATCCCAGGTTGGTATTTGGAATATGAAGTGGATAAGAGGCCCTAGCCTTGGTATCATATTTTTAACATAATCCTTTAGTAAGCCTTCTGCCACATAGGGCAATACAGTACCCCCCTAAATGTTTCTTAAGTTGTCTTTTTCATTCCTAGCGAATTTTACGAGCCTGATGCCTTGATGATGGAAGAGGAAGGAGCTGTGATCGTAGGTCTTCTGGTGGGATTGAATGTCATTGATGCAAATCTCTGCTTAAAAGGAGAAGATTTGGATACCCAGGTAAAAACTACCCCTTTAAACTGATCCATGTGCCTGATTTGCAACCTTATAAGCCTATAGTAGTCAATTAGGTTGAATCTGTCTTAAAATTGTACAGGTGTGAGTTAATAATAATAAAATGGAGAGTGGAAGGATTATGTAAACTGCCTTAGGATCCTTGCAAAAGAAAAAAAGGGTATAAAAGTAATCATAAATAAATAAAAGCATTTCCAGCTCTCTGCTTCTCCTGAAAAACTACTCTGGAGGGTTTGTGGAGCATAATGGTCTAGGGGAAAGCAGAGAGATCTGTTAGGAGAAGAGGGATCAGCAAAATCACCCCTTCTCTTCCTCCACCCTTCCTCCAGTGGCGTCTCCACTGGATCAGAGTGGTGTTCCCTTCAATAATGAAAGAAGTACTTCTGTCTGTGAAAGGTTATGACAAGATCCAATTCACTATGTACCCTAAAAAAGTGTTTTTCATTAGTATGGTGAAAATCGACAAATATGCATGGCAAAAGATTGTGCACAAACTACGTGAAAAGACTTCCAGGCTATAAAGGTGATTGTGGGTTTCTTTTGTGTGAATTGGGCCCTTATTATAAGTAATGTAGGCTGTACCTCCAAAGGAATCCACTGGTCTCTGCACTCTCTAGTTTCTGTGGTTGAAAATAGCTCTGGGACTCATTAGTTGCACAGGGAGAACCAAGGAGGTGAAGTTTGCTAAGCATCCTGCTTCAGGCAACACAGTAGCTCTCACTCAAGGGTGGAGTTGGTGTTGCATGTGGTTTGCTGCTGAACCGTGGGTTGTTGTTGAAAACTGAGTCATTGTGTTGTCTGAACCCAGCTATGCTAACCATGGCTTGTTAACCAAAACCCACCCTATTGAAAGGACCTGTGGTTTGTTGTTGGCTTGTGAGCTTTGGGTAGCTTACCAGAGTTTGTTTTCTTGTCAGAGTTCAGACAGCCCATTAACCCACATTTCATATTCAACCCTTGAGTGTACATTACAGTGTTGTCTGAATCCAATCGGATTGCATCAGAGAAAGCACAGAACCTGATGATTTGTTTTAACCTGAGACTCTGAAAATCAATTGCCCACAGAAAGGAGTGGGATAATGATACTGATCCAGAAAGACAAGTTTATTTTCACGCCAACACTTTCTGTGAAACTTCATTTATTTTGATGTGAAAGATGAGTATGAAAAACATAAAGCCTAGCTAAGCTTATCAAGACACTGGTCATAATTTGATTAACTTATTGTGTAAATCTAATTTGTCATTTCAGGTTGCAGTGATTGATTTTTCTTTGTACCTTAAGGATACTCAGAACAATGACAATGGCAAAGAGTATGTATAACTAAGCTTCTATTCTTAATTATTATTAGATAGACAATTAGGGGAAATCATGTAGAAGATGAGTGGAATTGATCTTGGGGTCTTCTTTGGCTCCTTCAGACTTTAAGGGGGCAAGAAGGAAATGAAATTTCAAATGGATATTGGTAAATAAGGGATGAAGCACAAATCATGCACATAGAATATCATACATGAACTTCTGACTTTAGGACACCAATCTGCTTATGTCTTGATGCAATGGTGTGTCATCTGCCTTTCATATCAATAGCTAATTTTGATCATGAGAGAGAGCCAGTGTGGTGTAGTGGTTAAGAGCATGGGACTGGGACTCAGACGATCTGGGTTCTAGTCCCCGCTCAGCCATGGAGCCAGCTGAGTGACTTTGGGCCAGTCACAGACTCTCAGCCCAACCTACCTCACAGGGTGGTTGTTGTGGGGACAAGATGGAGGAGGAGATGTAAGCTGCCTTGAGCCCTTTGTAGGAAAAAGGTGGGATATACATCAAATAAATAAATAAAATAGTTTCTCTTTTGAATGTAGTTACCTTTGCTGTTATGATGGTCGTATTTAATTAACTTTGATGTTCAGAGGATTGTGCTCGATTGATCTTGATTTCTTGGAGTGAATAATCTTCCTTTTTTAAACCCATGCCCCCTTTTTTTGAGACTATTCTGGTCACAAATATAAGGGAACAGCATTTGCAGCCTTGCAATGAATATGTTGCTCCTTGTATGACAACTGTTAACAAATGCAAATGTAGCATTGAAAAAACTGACCATTCTGAAAAAGACACCTTTATTTCTTTATTAGAGATGGAGGAATTACTGCTGTGCTTGATCAGAAACATTATGTGGAAGAACTTAACCGTCATCTAAGGTATTGTTGATGGTTAATGTTTTGATTTCCCCCCTACTGTACAAACCCTAGCAGTTTAATATAAAGGAATGCTCTGCCTTCAAAGGGACCTGCCATTTTTTCTCCTCATTCTGTTGACCTTATTTCCATCTCTCCTGCCTCTCCCAATTCTAGATATAAACTAGTAGTATTGCTTTGCAATCTCCATTTGTTTCATAAACTTACCTAAACGGTCACCATACCGTAATCAAGGTTAGTTACTTGGGATGTGTTCCCATGTGACTGCCCACAACCTTCCAAATTCAGAAAATCAAGAGCATCCAGTTGTGAGAGGAAGGCACATGGATTCAGGGATTGCCTCCATGCCTCCCCATGCGCAAAAACATTTAGAAGCAGGAGAACCCAGCAGTGCCTTGCTCCTCCCTCCCTGTGGGATGCCCCCTTGGGGCCTTAGCTGGTGTGGGGGGAAATGCACCCAACGAGAAAGCAGAAGCAGGGACTCTCCAAAGAGGCAGTCTGCACAGGAATCTGGGAAGAATTGTTGCCTTCAGCTTCCTAGTTCGACTGTCGTGTGAGTAGTCCAAATTAAAACAATTACGCCTGATCTTTTGTTACAGTTGCACTGTTGGAGATCTTCAGACCAAGATAGAATGCTTGGAGAAAACCAACTCAAAGCTTCAGGAAGAGGTTGGTGATGATAACATGTATTTATAGTTCTACTTCTGCTTTCACTTCTTCTAAATTTGTAGTTGAAACTGATAGCTTTTAAATGCTTCTCACAAGCAAAAAAAACTTTGAATGGGCAAACTAGAAAAATCCTGGTGATGAAGCCATGTAGTTCTTTTTCTCTAGCTATAGCGCAGCGTAAAGATACATGGGATTTAGCTGCCTTTATACCAAATCAAGCTCTTGGTCTGTCAAGTTTCGTATCATATATACTGACTGGCTGGCATTTCTGGACTATCCATGCTTGGCCCATCCAGCTTGGTATTATCTACATGTGGTCAGTGCTTCTCCATGATCTCAGACAGGGAAATCTCTATCTGGAGACAGCAGAGAATGATCAGGGGACATTTTTGCATGTGGAGCATGTGTCTACCAGAACTACAGCCCTTCCCTGATAGCTGGGCTGAGGATTCACATGTTTGAGACTGTGAGAGATTCTGTTTCATGCTGTAGGAGTAGTGCTTTAATGTAAACACATACAAGTCGGGTTAAACATCTCATGAGTGGAGTTCTGGTTGGGCAACAGAACTTCCCCTTTGCATCTTCCCTGCATCCCTTCACTCTTGCTCCAGATCTGTTTCAGAAGGCTTCAAACCTTCTAGAGCAGACTTGGGCAAGGGCCTACAGAGGAGAGGGGGTTCCCATTCCTCTGGTGGAAGGCCAGTTTTAGATCCAGCTCATAATATGGTAACCTGCTCTGTATTGGAATAATAATGAAGCATCCTATGTGTTGGTTTTAGCAACTGAATGATGAGCTAGAGCCTTGCAAGCTTTTTAATTTTGTGCTGCAATTAAGTGGCAAGTTCTTACGTTCATCCAGATGATACATGACTGTTTCCTTCCTTTCTCTTCCACACCACCACCCCACCTGAGGCAGCTGGCAGCAGCAACAGATCGGATTGGGGCACTTCAGAAAGAACAGCAGGAGTTGAAGCAGGAAAATGAGCTAATCCGTGAACGAAGTGAAAAACATGTGGAGGTCAGATATACTGTGAAGATGATGTGCTTGGGGACTACTTAAAAGACCTGAGTAATTTATTTGTTTTAACATTATCTATTTATCTTTCAGAAGAGAGGCAGCTCACAAAATATCCTAACAGTTACAAACCACATATATAATCCACTAATAGGTGGGAGTATGACTTAATCCTCTTTCTGTAGTATGGGAGAACATGAAAATGATGTATTGTGATAGTAGATTGGATTCAGACATGAGCTTAGCAGAGTTGCTACTGATGCTGGAGGACAGTGGGGAGGGAGGGAAGCAACAATTTTCTCTGATTTTGCTGTCCTCCAGCACCATTCCAGTACCCTTTTGGAGGACTGTGGTTGCTGCAAGAACAAGAAGCAGAAAATTGCCAGCTTGCCTTTTTTCTCCAGCAGAATGCTGCCACTGAATCTCAGTTCCTTTTACAGTTCCATTGTTCTGCTTCTAAAAAAATTGAATCCTAAAATCCAGTATTTTTAAATGCTTCCCATATTTCAGCCTGTCAGTATTGCCCTTCTGTATGCACTGGGATGCAAAGACAGATCTCCTGTATGAGCCGGTTACAGTGGAGAAAAGGGCACAGACAGATTTTTACTTTGCTGTCCAGCAAAGTAAATGAATAGACGCTGTTGCTAAGCCAACTGCAACATTTTCGGAAGTTCAAACTTAACATGCACTTTGAGGTTATGGGCCAGTTTGCTTGACCAAAGCATACGCTGGCAGTGCATGCTGGCCAGCATTTTACATATTCAACTCCCATCTAGGGGTAATCATGTCATGGGAACCCAAGAGGTGTGAGTGATATGAGGATTAAACAACCCCATGTTGTAGGGTTATGTAAGGATTGTTTGGATTTAACAGCAACCCACAGTTGGGAAATGGATAAGCAAACTGGCTCACCTTAGTTTAATCCATGATGGATTTGTTTTGATTGCATGAATATCTTGTTTCTAGTACTGGCTGTAGTGTAAAATAAGTTGAAATCAGGTGTAACTTCTCTTGTAGAAATATTCCTACTGACAGGCAGATTTTTCAATCCTCTTCCCATTTTAGGTAACTAAACAGGACACCAGAGTTGAACTGGAAACTTACAAGCAGTCACGGCAAGGCCTGGATGAAATGTACAGTGATGTCTGGAAGCAACTGAAAGAAGAGAAAAGAATCCGTTCTGTGAGCTACCACTTTTTTTGATCTGAAATGAATAACTGTTGATGGATCTAGTCTCAGCCAGTAGTGTTCCAAGCCTGCCAGGCAGCAGATACCATTTGCTGCTCAACAGAGGCAAGAGGAAGGAGGCAAATGTTGGTCTTCCACAAGGGAAGCTGAGGTATAAAATTCAGGGCAGGTCTGTACATCAACGAGAGCCGGTAGGATGGCATGTGCATACCAGTGAGGGACGCCTTGTGTTCAAATTCGTGCATGGCCACTGATGTGACTGGGTAGCCTTGGGCCACTCGCCACTTTTTGATCTGCCTTCATAGTGAATGCCTTTAAATTGCGTATTAGATACCCCACCATTTGAAACACAACAGGAGCACTGTACCGTACGCAGAGCCCCACTTGCATACCCCCCACATTTATACAGCATTCTTCCAGGGGCTCGGAGGGTGGAACGCTGGCTTGCAGATACCACAACACAAACGTTGGCAGTTGCACAGGTGGGAGGAGGCTGCAAACCTGCAATCAGAAGCAGGAGTTTTCATATGAATCAGTGTTGCCGGTTCATCCCTCACTCCTCCGAGCACGCCAGGTTCTGGAAAGAGTCCTCTGAGTGCTGCCCTTCCAGCTGGAGTGGGCACTCAAAGTGGCATCGCCTGTCCCTGCCTCAATGTAAGGGTCGTGCAGCTTGTGGAAGAAAATGTGGGGATGGTCAGGACGGAGCACGGCGCGGCATTCGTGCATGCGCACTCTCCTGCAGTTCTCCCCGTGGTGACTTCCCAGCACAAAAGATTTGGAAAAGCTGGCTATGGCTATAACCGGTCAGGGCATCTTTCTTATCTTTATAGAATTACTTTTGGGTTTGCAATTCTTGATTAGTGTTCAGAAAGAAGAAACTGATTTGCATAGGTTGATCTTGGCTTCCTGATCATGACTATGAACGTTTAACCACTACCACCCACCAGACATGGCCCATGTGTTTAGGCAGCACTGCAGAAAAGTTTTATTGATGTAATTCTTGCATTTTATTATTTTAAGGAACTGGAAAAAGAGCTGGAACTACAGATCGGCATGAAGGCAGAAATGGAAATTGCCATGAAACTCCTGGAGAAAGATACTCATGAAAAGCAAGATACTTTGGTTGCCCTTCGCCAACAGCTGGAGGAAGTTAAAGCAATTAATTTGCAGATGTTTAATAAATCTCAGGTTTGTGTGTTAAGTAACTGTCTACATAGCATGTGGAATGTGTGTGGTGCGTTACCATCATTTGTGATCCATGGGCGTAGCGGGGAACCACGATTTAAAACACAGGATATCCTGATGCTAGTGGAGTTGAGGGGAGGAAAGGAAGAGTATGCAGACCAGTACTCAGCCCCAGCTTTGAAAAGCATGACTTACGACGCCAGGAACATTATGTTTAAGTCAGCCACTGTCTCTGCACAATACCTTCTGGTTCAACAATACAATGGTTCTCTACCTTACTTTTAATTCTCTGGATTTTGTTATCCGGTTAAGTTCAGTATCAGGGTTCTGTCCAGTCACTCTTTGTATGAACTTAGCCATAATGCACTGTATATGCTTTTCATACCCATTCAGTAATGTGGAAGCCTGGATCATTTCAGTCACATTTGTAGTGACGAGGAGAGAGAACTTCTGGCTATTAATACATATATACCAGTGAGACTGAAAGGATATCCTTGAAAGGCAGGTGATTACTCAATTAGCATTTCTTTAGTTGCAGCAGCCTTCTCACAGGAACAAAAGTGATTTCTAGGGGAAGTATTAGCATCTGGGGGGTGGGGGCTAGTTTGACTGGGCAAGGAGGTGAGGCATGCAAGCAGCTCTACCCCTCTGCTTATTGTTGGCTTTGATTTTGAAGTCTTAAAGAATGATTAATTTGAAGTGAGCAGCTTGAATTTTTTTCTTCTAGAGTGCAGATAGCATATTGCAACAGAAAAAAGAAACAATATCATCCTTTGAGGGCAAAACAGATCAAATGATGGCTTCTATGAAGCAAATGGAGGACAGGTAACTCTTTCCACAGGCAAGATCAGCCTTTGTTGTTCCTAGTTCCTCAATGCTCCACCTTTTAAAAATCCAGACTGGTTTTACACAAGCTGTTTCTAGGGAAAGGCATGCATGTATTCACGCAAATCCCCTTAGCCATCTATGATTGTTTATATAGCCTTCCACGATTTCACCCATCCCTGCCTTGTTCAAATGACACTGCCTCCTCCATGATCCAAAACACCAAAGGACGTGTTCAGACTGGAGAAGTACTGAATACTTTCTCTGATGTGACCAGCTGCCTCTGTGGGTTGTGCACTAATGATAACTCCATCAGGCCTGTTTCGTCCGGCTTCTTCCCATCCAGGTGAAACTGGCCTGACGGAAAAGTCTTCCCAACAGATTTCAGCCCATTTGCTGAGGGTACTGCCTATCATTTTGCGTTTGGGATAGACAAGGAGCAGAGAAAGTAGAATTTCTAGGAAAGGAGGGAGAACTGGGAGAAGGGTGTTGGGATGTCATGAGCTGGGATGAGAAACTCTGAATTTAGAAGAGGGAGTGGCTTATATGCATGAGTTAAGAATATGTTTTTATTCCATTGCCAAGGTGCCCAAGATGGCTTAAAATTTTAAAATATTAGAAAAGTTGTGTATAAAATAGAGAACTGCAGAGTTTTTAAGGTGATTCATCAACTCTTTGGGAGCTGATGGCCCAAGTTCTTCAGCTTGGGTTTCTTCTCTTCTGCCTTTCTGCGGGGCAGATAGATCTTAAAGAGCTGTGGAACACGCTGCACACCAGTTTCCATCAAGTTGTTACCATTTGCTTTATCTGTTGAAGGCACAAGCTCTTTGGACCAGGACTAAGGAGCCTGGACTACCACTAGCCTGGGTAACATTTGCTGCTGTAGGCCAGACAGTTGAGAAGGTTGCCTGCCTGGCACTGCCTTGCAGCATGGTGGAGCGCATTACTTGTGCAAGAAGAGTGTTCAGAGGTAGTAGACCCGGTAAGAGACAAAAACCAGTAGGATTCAAGAAAGCGATCATCATTTCTTCATGTGTGTGTTTGTCCAGACTGCAACATGCGGAGAAGACCAGGAAGACAGCAGAAGAGAAAAGTGTCAAGCTGAAGCGAGAACTAGGTGGCAAGATTGAGTCAATGCAGCAACAGCTAATCCAGCTGGACAATAAATGGTATGCTTGCACTAAGTGACATTTGAGGCAGTGATGGCTCTGTCCTATCTTTCCTTGTGTTATTGTTTTAATAGACTATGTTACAATGTAAACCTATATCACACACAACCAGTGCGACATTAGGAGAGCAACCCTTGCATCTCTTCCTGTTGGCTAAAGGGAGTTAGTAGGGGATGCTGTGAGGGTGTGGGCTTGCTGGGACAGGGGCATGTGTCCTGCTGGCCCATGGTATGCATGGTCTCAGGAAGCTCCACTGGTACAGATGAACCTTTGGCAGGAGGGACTGGGCATTCTGAGGGGAGATCTTGATCTAGCATTGCTACATTCCTTCCCACTGAAAAATCCCCCCACCACAGTCACCTGCTGCTTGAGCCATTGTGAGATAGCAGGTCTCATCATAAGAGACTTGTCTGGAAGCACTTAGAGCTCAACTGTACTGTTCAGAATTTGCAAATGGCACTGCTGGTTTTGTGCAAATAAGCAGGACTTTGAATTGGTATTTTTGGAACAGCAGCCTTCCTTTCCCCAGGACACTTGGCAAATTGAAGGGAGTTCCAAAAGTCACTTGCAATAGGACATGAGGGTGTATATTCCAAGGAAATGTAACCTAGAATCTTGAACATTCCTAAAGTAGCTTTCTGAATTCCAGCTGCTATCTGCATAGAAAACCCTCCTTTGATGAACTAATGAAAAGATTGTATTACTTATCCCTCCTTCAGTATATATTCTAATTTCTAGATAGTTAAATACTGTTAGAAATTGGTTTAACATTTGTTTAAAATTTAAATAGTTCCACTCTTGAGAGAGAATTAAAATCTGAGAAAGAACAGAGACAGACTCTGCAACAGCAGCTGCATCAAGAGAAGGATACTACAACTTTGCTGAAAACAGAACTGCAGCAGGTAGAAGGGTTGAAAAAAGTAAGTGAGCTGAGAATTTATTCTCCTCCTAGAGGGCAAAGGTGGGGAGATACCTTGGGTGCCTTTCAGCTGGTAGGTAACTTTTGGTGAATTCTCTCCTTTAAAACAAATACAATCGTTATATTATGTTACTGGTTAGGAAAACCTTAACTACCGGAGAAGTACTGTTACTAATAATACTAAACACACTTTGAGTGCTAACCTGACCTGGTCCAGCCTATGGCAGACTTCTGCCATCAGCCCATCTTCATTACTGGAATGGGGAAGAGGCAATTTCCTGTCTGCCCTGTATACCCCAACTCTGCCCTTGAGAGTAATGGGTGCTCTGGGGCTCATTTCAGAAAGATCAGAGCACTGTGGAAGCCTTACTAAAAGTAGAGGGACACAAACTGATTCCATGATTTGAGACAACAAATGACATTCAGGTACTTCCTAGATGCTTAGTGGGGGTTTTGCCTTTTAAAAAACCATCTTAACTGAATATAAATAAATTATATCCTATGGGGTTCAGCTTAGTATGCATGGCAAATGATAATGAGAAAGAAAAGGCAGAAGTACTTAATTCCTGCTTTGGCTCAGTCTTCTCCCAAAAGGAGATCTATGACTTGAAGGAGCAGGATGACAGCTCAAGAGTCATAAAGGAGCTGGCATATGAATTCTCAGAACCACTGTTTATTATCTTGAAGTCATGGAGGACGGGGGAAGTGTCAGGTGACTGGAGAAGGGCTAACGTTGTTCCCATCTTCAGGAAAGGAAAGAAAGAGGAACCCTGGGAGCTATAGACCAGTCAGCCAACTCCTGGGAAAATTCTGGAGCAGATTAGAAAGCAGTTAGTCTCCAAACACCTTGAAAGCAATGCAGTGATTACTAGAAGCCAACATGAATTCCTGAAGAACAGATCCTGCTAGACTAATCTGATCTCAATTTTTGATTGGGTAACCTCCCTGGTGGACTGTGGGAATGCAAAGCTTTTGACAAAGTGCCCCATGATAATCCTGATTAGCAAACTATCTAACAGTGGAACAACTATAAGGCGGATGCACAGTTGGCCACAGAATCAAAGCGTGCTCATCCATGGCACCTTCCCAAAATGAGGAGAGATCACAAGTGGGGTACGGCAGTTTTCAGTCCTGGGCCCAATGCTCTTCAGCGTGTTAATGATTTTGATGAGGAAGTGCAGCAAACAATTATCAGATTTGCAGATAACACAAAACTGGATAGCTAACACCCTGGAAGACAGAAAGAAGATTTAAGGTGATCTTGATAGGTCAGAGTGCTGGGCTGAAATTCAGTCAGGACAAATGTGAAATGCATTGTGACAAGATGGGAATACTTGGCTCAACGATGCTGCAAGTGAGAAGGATCTTGGAATTGTTGCAGATCACAAGCTGAATATGAGTCAACAATGTGATGTGGCTGCAAAAAGGGCAAATGTTATTTTAGGCTGCATTAATAGAAGTGCTACTTCCAAATCACATGAAGCACTAGTTCCCCTTCACTCACCACTGAAGTACTGTGTCCTCTTCTGGACACCACAGTTTAAGAATGATGCAGACAAGAGAAGGGGTTCAGAGGAGGACAATTCAGGTGAGTCAGAGGCAGGGCAGGGGACTGAAACAGATGGGCTCTACAATCAGAAGCAGGCTTGATTCTCAATCACTGGGTTCACTGAAGGCAGGGAACAGGGTTAACAATCATCCTAACTGTGTCTCCTTGTTTACATCTATATAAGTAAATGACTGCCATTCATTTCTATGAAGGGAAACATTTCATGGGGGCAGGAGCAGAGAGCACCAGAAGGAGAAGAACTGGCACAAGGAATGCAGGGAAGAAGCAGGGTAGTACAAGAGAACGGGGAAGTACTGGGAGAGCATGAGGACCAACAGGAAGGGTGCAGAGGAATACTAGATTGAAAAGCTGGGCAATGGGCTAGAGCCTTCCCTTCATCTGTCTTCATCTTCCCTTCACCTTCTCACTCGTGAAATTTAGTTGCAGTGCAGTCATAACAGCAGTAGGCCACATGGGGAAAGCTGAACATGTAGAAAGATCCAGTTTCAAATGCCAACATATCCAGGGAGGACTGAGGAAAACTCTTGCCTCAACCCCTCAGAGCCACCCTGTTGGTTGATAGTGCTGAGCTAAATGGGCCACTGGTCAGTCTTGCGTATAGAGCAGCTTGTGTCAGAAAGGGCACGGGCCTGGGCTGCCTCTTCTGTCTGAGTCAGGCTGCTTTTGGGCAGGAACTCCATAAACTAAATCTAGAGAGCCATGCTGAACACAAACTCTGTGGTAAATTACTTGAAGGAGCGTTTACGTCCATATATGCCCACCCGCCCCTTGAGATCAGCGGGAGAGGCCCTTCTCTGGGAACCCTCCTTGAAGGATATTAGGAGGGTAAGTACTCGGAGGAGGACTTTCTCTGTGGTGGCACCCAATCTATGGAATACGCTCCCCAGAGAGGTCCGCCTGGTGCCATCGTTATTTGTTTTTCGGCACCAGGTGAAGACCTTTTTATTTAAACATCATTTTAATTGCTAATATTTATTTATTTTACATCTTTGGCCAGTTCATCTCAAATTATATTGTTTTATATTGTCTTTATATTGTTATTATTAATTTATTGTTGTGAGCCACCCTGAGGCTTCGGTGAATGGGGCGGCATAGAAGCTTCCTAAATAAATAAATAAATTCTAATCATGGTAGAGGCCATCAGCCAGTGCCTTTGGTTAATATTACAGGAGTGCTTCATGGAATGGCTTTCCAGCATTTATTGACCTTGCAATAAAGCAGTGTGCCTCTGCACATGCAGGTACTTTATTTCCTCCTTGCCCAGTCAACTCAAAATAGGAAAGAAGGGAGTTCTACCTCACAAAAATACCTGACATTTCATATTTGTGTGTGTTCAACAGGAGCTGCGAAAACTGCAAGAGGAGAAGCAGGAGTTAGAAAAGCTCTGTAAAGAGCAGGAACAGGCCCTTCAGGAAATGGGGCTTCACCTTAGCCAGTAAGCATGTTCTGATACTTCCTATCAGTGCATCTCCCATTTTGTTCATCTTGAATTTCTAAATGTTGCATTGTTGAGCTCTGTAAAAGGAAGGGCATGTGGTTACTAAGAAATGGGTCTATACATTTTAGGAGATGCTTTAATATGAGATTCTCAGTCTGTTACTTTTAGAAAACTGCATCATGCTTGATGGGGCAATTGAGTGTTAGTATTTCCAGAAATAAATGGATAAAAGTGTGAAGACCAGCTGTGAACCCCTCAACCATGCAATAAATGCACACATCTCATAAAGTGAGAGATGGCTCATGGAACATGAATAAGTCATTTGGAGAAATACAACTGGAATGAAAGTAAAGGTGTTTAGTAAAGGATCTTTTTGTCCCTTAAATTTGGAATGTAATGCTTTTAATAATTCAGGAAACAAGAGTTGGTGTGTAAGAGAAGGAGCCATGAATCAGGAACTCTCAGATCTGAATCTGGCTATAGGCACATCATCTGCAGCGTGAGGATTACATTAACCATGTACACTTCAGAAGAAATGTGATTTGTGTTCATATAACAACCCTATTTTTTCCAGATCTAAGCTTAAGATGGAAGATATTAAAGAAGTTAATAAAGTGTTAAAGGTACATCAGCTTTAACAATATATTAAGATTTTAGAAACTGGCTTCTACTGTTTGTCTGTCTCCCCATTGCATTATGTGGCAGTGTCCTTGAGTCATCTGGGATGGAGACCATTATCAAACCTGTCTTACCACCCACTGGGAGCACCTTGATTTTTCCTGTTCTAAACATAGACATGCTACAATCCAGATGATGATTGTGTGTGTTTACTCAGAAACAAACCTCACTTCTGCTCACTGGGGCTCAAGTGAACAGCAGACAGGCCTGAAACCTAAATTTCTTTGAGGAGCTGGATAGCGATAAGAGCCAGTGTGGTGTAGTGGTTAGGAGCATGGGACTGGGACTCAGACGACCTGGGTTCTAGTCCCCACTCAGCCATGGAGCCAATTGGGTGACTTTGGGCCAGTCACAGACTCTCAGCCCAACCTACCTCACAGGGTTGTTGTGGGGGACAAGATGGAGGAGGAGATGTAAGCTGCCTTGAGCCCTTTGTAGGAAAAGGCAGGGTATGAATTGAAAAATAATCCTTCCTACAGCTGGCTTGAAGTGGATTGCCTAGATCAGTAGTTTTCAACCGCCAGTCCACAGATTTCCTGCCAGTCTGTGGTGGGGGGGGGGGCACATCCTGCTCACCATGGACCAGAGCAGGGGCTAGCTGTGCCTCACCACCTCTTCCTCGATTGGCATTGTCTTCATGGGGGGTGCCAGGGCGGGGCAGGGAAGGGAGACGGCTTGGTGGGAGCCACGCTATGCCAATTTTGGTATTTTGTTCTTCTGTTGGTATTTTTGGTTGCTCAGTTTCTGGTTGTTTTGGAGATTTTTTTGTGTTTTTTTTTGTATTGTGTTTGGAAACTAATATACAGAATACTGTATTATATGTACGGTGCTTTTTTGTTTCTGCCTCAGTGGTCCCCAAGGTGGTTTTCCTGTTTTCATAGGTCCCCAGCTGTGGAAAGGTTGAAAACCACTGGTCTAGATGGCTTCTTAGCCCCTTCTAAACTGACAGTATAGTGATCATGATCAGTATAGTGATCATTAGAAGCTGAATACTAAAATAATGTTGCATTTTGTTAGGGCCACACCTGGCTAAAAGATGATGAAGCAACCCACTGTAAGCAGTGTGAAAAAGAGTTCTCCATTTCAAGAAGAAAGGTAATGTCAATAGATTAGATGCCTCCAATGTGAAAGCATTATGGTAGGACAGTCAGTAAAGTCAAAAGTTGCATTTAACTGCCAACAAGGATGCTAGGGATGAAAGTACATAAAAATAAATTTTGTGTTCAGCTTATGTATTTATGGTTGATTTTCATGGAATCTTGGATTCCTGCATCAGCAAGTCTTGGTGCTTCTTTGCACATGGAGGTCCTAAGTAGTTTATTTTCAATTGCTTTTAGCTAATTCAGAAAACCTACAACAGTATGGAAGCCATAATGTATTTAGTTTTAGAAATCTTAGACTCAATTATGTGAAACTTTATCAAGGCCGTTGTTAAGAACTCCTTTGATTTCCATCAAGCCCCTTCTGTTTCTTTGGTCTTCACAGTTTAGAGAAAAGTTGGTACTTTGATCTATTGATTCGAGTATGCCCTCTGCATCACTTGCTTTGACTTGAATGCAATACTTGAACAGTACTGCTTTAAATAATACGTTTAAATCATACTATCTTTGCAGCACCACTGTCGAAACTGCGGTCACATCTTTTGCAGCACTTGTTCCAGCAATGAACTTGCACTCCCATCCTATCCAAAGCCTGTACGAGTTTGTGACTCCTGCCATACGTTGCTGCTTCAGAGGTGTTCATCAAATTCTTAAGACTCTGACTTGTTTCGGGAGAATAGCAGAAGACCAGAGAATTAGCCAAATGCTTAGGCTTTTTGGCAATATTAATTTTACCAATCACACAACACTCTTAAGGTACTGTTTGCCACATGGGAACAGCAAGTTTAATTTATGAACTAGGGTTTACAAAATCTATGGAAGTTAAATATTTTGCATAAATTTAAGTGCCAGAAAAATGTATCCTAAAATGTGCTCAGTGTACTGCAACTTTGAGATGCAGCATCATAATTTTGGTCTTAAATTACTGAAATGTATTGTTTGGTATTTAACTTTGTACTTGAGATTTGTACAGTTGATCTCTAACACAAATTACTTTTCTGAACACTTTATTTTCATGGGACTTACCTATGACAGTTTCTCTTAAATTCCTCTTGCTTTGTATGTAGTCAAATTTGAAAATGTTAGCTTCCTAAAAATTGTCCCCAGGGAAGAATTTTTTAAGCAGTGTATAAATGAATGTGCCTTTATGATACCTCAAAAGTAAATGAGAGTATAGATTCTTGTTTCTAAAGCGCCTATAAAAATAGTGGTTATGCAATAAAGACTGCTGAGTAGAATTAAACACATTGATCTGCACCTTCGTAATTCCTTGGGGAATACCTGTAAGGTTTACTGTCCATGATTATCTGCAACCCAGCATTTCACACCACAAAACTTCCTTGCTGCAAGGTATTACCAAAGCAGACAGCAGACTTTTAAAAGATGCTGTCTAGGTGAACTATAAGTAGCCCACCACCTTTTTAAAAGTCCGCATTTCTGAAGCTGAAGTATTACATGAAAACCTAATGCAGTTCAAGCCATTGTTCACTAGTGTTGTGGAATCCTTAATATGCCTTCAGCATGGGGTTGCTTTGCAGTTACATAAGCAAACTAAAGCGTGATCAAAAAATTTGGAAAGAGGCTTTATAACAGATACGTGTAACAGACTGGGGTATTACTGGGCTGGTTGACACAATGAAAGTAAGATACTGTGGCTCATATTAAGACATTAATCCACAGTGGTTTATTTAAAGTGCAGCCCATACCAGAAATACTGGAGGGTTCTTTTCTCCTCCATCGAGTCATGCCACCTGCATTCAGACAACACAGTGCTTGGTATACTCCAATCACATGCAATTTAAATAAACCAGTGGTTTATTTGGAGTGTGCATACCAGGTCAGTGTAAGCAGTGCTGACTAGGAAAATAACTGAATCCTGATTGGTTTAGGTAGTGACTGAACAAGAAAGGTACTGGGGAAGAAATATGCAAGTAGCACCAAAGCCATGGGATTTGAAGTTGCGGGAACAGAAAAGGATGTAAAACACAACCAGTGGACAAGCAAAAGCAAGAATGGAGCACTCTATAGTATGACTGAGCAGTCCTGAGATGAAAACCAAACCCCAGCTAAGTGAGATCTCACGATACAGACGAGAGGCTCTGGCCTACTTCACTGCCAAATTCACTCCCCCAGTTGGCCTAATATGGAGAGGACGCTCACTATTCCATCCCCAGTAATCCCAATGATTTGCTTCCCCCAATACTGCTAACAAAGTATTCTATTAAGGTTGTGCATGCTGCTTTTAGAACCAAAAGGACTGTGCATTCCTTGGGTAAAATTCATGGAAGACGACCATATACAATTACATGAAGACAGCAGGAAGCTCAAAAAGAATGCCTAGTGGCCATAAATGATTTCGTGCAGACAATTGCATAGAAGGAATTGCATCGTAGCACTGGAGGAAACAGAACATCTTGAGCCATTCCAGCCTGGTTTCAGGCCTGGCTTTGGGGCATAAACTGCCTTGGTTGCCCTATGGGATGACCTTTGCCAGGCAAAGAACAGGGGGTAATGCATCTGTTGGTTCCTGGACCTTTCCACACTTTCAGTACCATTGACCATGGTATCCTTCTGGACAGTTGAGGGTTAGAAGCACAGCTTTGGAGTAGTTTACTTGGCCAGCCAATTCCAGGAGGTAGTGCATGGGAAATGGGGCAGTGTCATGGCAATTATTCCATGGAGTTCCACAGGGCTCCATTTTGTCCCCCATGCTATTCAAAATGTACATGAAACCACCAGGAGAGGACACCCAAAGGTATGGGCTGAGGTGGCACCAGGTGACACCCAGCAGTACCTCTTTTTCATCTAATCCAGATGAGGCAGTGACAGTTCTGAATCTATCCTTTTTTTCCAGAACAGAAAGATAATGGTGCATGGAAAACATTCTAAAGCTGTCTCATGTTCCCTAAGGGTTATGGAAACATTGTAGAGAGCAATGGATGGGTAAACATCAGATGCTGTACTTTTTACAGAATACTTATTCTTGGACAAATTCCATTTCATGGGTTACCACCAAGCTCTGTCAAAACATTGAAGATTTTTATTAGACTAGATATTTCAGAATAGTTGCTGGCAGAATAGTGCTCATTTAAATCAAAATAAATTCCAGTTTTTAAAAGGAAATTTTATTTTAACAAGTTTCACTTAGCGCAATACACCTAAAAGTAAATCACAATACAATGAAAGATTAAATCAAGGCCTCAGATTTCATACGAACACCAAGACCAAAATCCTAAAGGTAGCTGTATTGCATCTCGCATTTCCCCATTAACTTAAAAAGCTTAAATGTGTCTTACAAGATATTAAAAAGAAAAACTAGAACTAACATGCCAAATGTTCACTTGGGTTTCCAACACAGCTCCTATTATCTTGTTTGTACAAAAAAGCATGTTCCTGAACATGCACTGAGAACAGTGTTTGGTGTTATATGGTATAAGAGCAACATTTAACATAATTGAAACAGCTTTAACCTAAATACGCTTACTGCTCAAATACACTCCTACAACAAAAACTGGAAAAAAGCTGAAAATTGTTTAACAGGAACTTCTTTACTTGACTCACACCCTAGATGAATGTTTCAGCATATTCAAAAATACTGAACCTGAATGTTTTAAAATGATCCTGATTTCACTTACAAGTAAAGCATAAATCACAAGCTTGTATTGCAAAACTGTTAAACTTAGTTTTTTGTTTTCTTAAAAAAGTTGACCAAAAATTAGGAGACCAGTTACATTCCCCAGCCACCACTCATGTTGGACATGTTAGACATTCCAGCCATGCCGTTCACTCCCATGGATGCACGATTGCCACTGCTGTAGTAGCTGCTGTTCATTGCACTCTGGTTACCTAAGTCAAATAACAAGTTTGAGAATTTACTGCAAAAGCATAATACTCTTTACACATAAGGCAATACATGCCCCCACCTCCAAAATTATCCCCTCTTATATCACCTTGCATAATCCTGTACTATTAAAAAGACAAACTTCCTTCTATGTATCACAAGTTAAAAATTCTATAAAGCCAACTGCAAACCAGTTTCCCAGATTTTTTTTGGTAAAGTGTGTGCACAGCAAGTCCTAGTACATGTTCATGCCCTCCCTCTACTGATATCCAGTGCACATCACTTTTCATGCCATGAGATTTTTTTTTTAAACTATGCTTTATCAATGGCTATCAGGAAACTTTCTTGCTGCTCTAAGACTTGTTCTCCAAGTTTCCTAAAAGACAGCTAAAACCAAATGCCTGAACAATCTTAAAATATCTGAATTATTTGCCAAAGATAAATTATTTGCCGTTGATCCTTGCATACGAAGACTTAACTCCAACAAACACCCAACTAAGACTAATAAAAACATCTTACCATATCCGCTCATGCTGCTTTGACCACCATAGCCTCCTCCATAACCCCCACTCAACTGTTGGTTAGTTGGACCACCATAACTGGATTGGCTTCCTTTCAAGTTAAGGATATGCATGTTAAGACCTTGACTACCACCGTCTTTTATAAAGAACCTATGCACTACACGCTTCTGAAAAAGGGCAAATCTGCCCCTATTTTATAGTGTGCCTGGATCTCTATTGCTAGTTTTTCCTTTGTTGATAAAGGAGGGAGTTGCAGACACTTTGCTAATAACCGATTTATTCATGCTTGTGGTATTATTTGAACCATTCAATAAAGTAGGGAAGTAACTCTTGTATTATCTGAATATGGTATACTTATTCCTTACTTACATTTCTGCACATTCATCTCAATTATACTGAACCAAATCTGAAAATGTATTTGGAAATATGGAGCTAGGTATTTTGCGGCTTACACAGCTTTTGGAAGCTAACACACAAGACAAGCCATTTTGTACATATTGCTCGAAACACAAGGGAGATGCCAAACTGCAGTCTTCCACATCAATGACTAGAAATTCTATTCTACAAAACTCTTCTACATTTAAAAAACAGACAAAACAATGCAGAATTCAATGGATTATAATTCTATGTAATTAGCTCACTTATTTCACATCTCTGCAAAACTTTTTTGCAGTTGAGAATATGAAGTTTGCTTTTTTAACTTAATCTTATCTTGTAAAGCACAAAATCTAAGCCATTCTGCAAAGTGCTATAAAAGCAACACACACACACAACACACCCATTCAACTGATACCAACTATCATTTTGAGACTAAAACACAATAAAGCAAACCCAGCTTCTGAAATTATTAGTTCCAAGTAACAGTGAAGCCCACAGATAGAGCACCCAATTTGGGGTCAGTGTTTAACAAGACATTAGTATGCAAAATTACCACTGTGACAGCTATCACTCATGTAATTCCACCCAGTGGCCCATAAATTCTTCCCAGAAACAAACTATAGCAACATTTAGAAAGAGCATCTATTCCCCACCCCCAATATGTTATCATTCCCCTCCCTGGAAAGCAGTCATCCCGCCACTCATACAACACACACATTAATTTATTTAACAGCCTAATTGTTGGAATGTATACCTAAAAGGTTTATATACCTGCCAATGTGTTAGTGTTCCAATCTTGAACTACCCCTTCCGTTTCCTTGACTGTGATTAAGACAGAATGTTGAATTTCAGTTTTAGACCACTTAGAATAAGCACAAACTGTACAAAATTAGCTATCTGTATAAAAATAGCAGGAACATTTAACGCAAAACTGAACTGCTTACACATACCCATTGCTCCCATCATCTGACTGCCATATGCACCACCACTTCCTCCAGCTGTAGAATTCAAGAAGAGTTCTACATATCGGTGTTCTAAGGAAACAAAAGAATAGTAATGGACTTAACATAGACAGATAGGTCAGGTCACTTCACATACAATGTAAGGATATAATTATCTTGATACAAAGGATAGACTCCTTTTCAATGCTGAAAATTACATGGCTTGCACTTTCCCCCACCAGATTTCCAAAACATTAAAGGTAAGACCAATAGCAAGAATATAAAAGAGTGCACTATTCTGTAGAAAGCACGCTTAACTTACGCATATTTGCTTTGTCTTTGGACATTGCAGCAACAGCATCCTCATGAGTCGCAAATTCAACATCTGCCTCTCCTGTTACTCGGCCATCAGGTCCAATTTCTATGTGTACTCTTACAGGATTAAGGGGCGAGAAGAACTAAGAGAACATTAGAAATAGGTCAACATTAATTCAATGAAAAATTCTGTACAGTCTAAATGCAAGTCATCTTGAGAATACTGCATCAACCAAATACAAGCCAG